GGTATTGTGGCACTGTCTACAGAGGAAGGACTTCCCCGAGAAGTTCGTCTCCATACTGCGCTCTATCTTTAGTCTGACCTCGGGCAGGGTTAGGACTTATGGCAAGCTTTCGCCTAAGTTTGTGGTCTCCGGCGGAGTTCGACCAAGATGCCCTATCTCTCCGTTCCTATTCAACTTTGCCATTGTGAATGTCCTAAAGAACGCTCTGGGCGATTCGTTGAACGTTGGTGTTGAGCTCCTCCCAGGTAGTCGAATTGTTGCTTTGGGTTATGCTGATGATATCGTCTTGCTGCGTGACGATCCACACGTTGTCCAACTTGCATTAAACCGCTTGACGATTGAAGCATCAAAGTATGGTATGTATTTTTCGCCATCCAAATGCAATGCTCTCTTTCAAGACTGGCTGTTGCCTTTGCCTGCACTCACTCTTGGTGGTGAGACACTAGAGGTTGTGGAGAGCTTTGTCTACTTGGGAAGTTGCATCACTGCTGGTGGGGCTGTCGTATACAAAGTTTCGATGCGCATCTCGAGGACACGCCTCGCTTTTTCTAGGCTGAGCGACTTGTGGCGTCGCCACGATATTCGTCTTTCCATCAAAGGGCGGGTCTATTGTGCAACTGTTCGTGCTGTACTTTTGTAGGGATGCGATACCTAGCCTATTCATAAAGATGACTTGTGCAGGCTATCCGTCTTCGAGCACCGCTGTCTGCTGTGCTTTGCCCGTGTGTGGTGGCAGCACCACCTAAGCAATGTGGAAGTTAGACAGCGTGTCTTGGGACGAGGAAGCCACTCGCTCGCGGAGCTCGTATCACTGCATCAACTGCGGTGACTGGGATACATATTGCGCATGCCTGTGCAGCGTTACCCGAGTCGTGCTTTGTTTACAGTTTCTGGACAGGTCTGGAAGAGACGGACTGGTGGTTAGCCTGCAACTTGGATAAGCCGCATGGAAAACCTTACGAAACAGTTGGCCTCGGCCGGTTGTTGTCGACTAATTAGTTGGGGTCCGAGAGGTGCGGATACTTGGTGGTTGAAGACTGTGGAAGCCATGGTTCAAGATCGATGTCAATAGCGGACGCGTACATCGGTGTGTTGCGGTGTCCCTTCTTCCTTTCCCTAAAAAAACAAACTGAAAAATATTTCAAAAACTGTGAGTGGTAAACTGGACAAAAAAGCTTTTATTGTTGTTACTTGCTTATTATTTATACTGTTTTCCTATTCAGCCATAATTCCGATGGCACGATATATGTACTACAGATTGTGTATTTTATATATATATATATATATATATATATATATATATATATATATATATATATATATACCGTTGGCGGCATTCGCTTTCAGTTTTGCCTTTCACTGTGGCCTCCACAGGGAGAGTCACAGGACGCCTGCACCTACAGGGTGACCATGGATGGCTTGCGATGCATCACCCACGCTCCAACCACACATCCCACATTCAGTGTAAACCCGAAGGAATAAGTCCAAGTGGCATGTGGATGGGAGCCACATTTCATCAACGGAGCCGGCCCACATTCCTTCACAGGCAAACACAAGCACGCTGTATTTGGGGAATCAACCACACACAAGGCAGTGGCTGGACCGTATTCCGCTCCATACTGAGTGCATGGAACCACTGTTCAAGTCTAGCACGGCCACAAGAACCGTGCAACCTGTCCCCTCCAGCAACGACTAACTGTCTCCTAGAGCCAGTAAGGTCAAGGTAGTGGGTAATAGACAGGTAGACCCCTTTTCAACACGCACTTCAAGCGCGGCCAGACCGGGGGTGTCAAAAACAATCAATCACTTGAAATAACATTATCAAAAAGTATATATGTTAAAGTATACGATTATGCAGGCATAATCCTTCGCTAAATTAGTATTTGAAGTAAGTTGGTTATCAACGAATAAGCGACCGGTACAAGATGCCCACAAGTTACTCGAAAACGTTACAAACACAATAAAGTTAACGGAGTTAAGCGTAATCAGAGTACGTAGCGCGTGAAAGTTAATAAAAGATTATTCAGGTAGGCAGAACGAACCAATTAAAGTAGAATTAAATTTATCCAGCTTAGAAAGACCTAGATCAAGTGTTAGTTGGTTTAGCCCAACTGCGGTGAAGAAGCATCATGAATGTAACATCAGCCTCAGCATGGGGCACATTATATATATATATATATATATATATATATATATATATATATATATATATATATATTTGCGTTGCTTGATGTCTGTTGGTCACTAATGAAGGGGAAGCTTACCTCTCTGTGTACTCGGTTTGTTCCCCTGAAGTATTCAATGTCAGTTCTGTAAAACTGCATAGCTTTGATACGGAATATAGACAGCGCGACGGCATCGTAAACATTGGGTAGGTACATCAGCTCGAGTTGTGATGAAGATTACACGGTGTACAAGAAACAGCGTGACTTATGTAACGCCGCAAAGGTCAAGAAACGCCGGCAGTTCGAAAAGGAGCTAGTATCCTCGGCTACAACTTCAGTTAAAAGATTGGTTGCCTACGTGAAACGGCAAGTGAAACCTGAGGGCGACCTAATGATCTTACAGAGCTTGGATGGATAGACGCTCATTACAAACGCGGAGCGCGCGGACGTATTGACTACGCACTTCTTCACCGTATTTTCCAGTAAAACGGCGGCTGTTTCAATACCGGCACAGGTTGCGCCAGTCATGCTCGACAGCCTACAATGTGATGCAGTCCAAGTGCATCAGTTACTCGTCAACCTTGATGGTGCAAAGCCCCCTGGATCAGACGGACTTCACCCACTCAAATCCCTATCGAATGCCATCACATTAGCCGTGACAAACATTCAATAAATCACTCTCTGAAAAATCTGTCCCCAACGACTGGAAAAGCTTGAGAGCGAGATCGTTTCCCAAGGGTGGTGATCCGAGTAAAATAGAGAACTATAGACCGATCTGTTTGACTTCTATATTATCCAAACTTCTCCAGAAGGTTTTGAAAAAGTGTCTGCTGTCGTTCTTCGAATCGAGGGACGTATTGACGCCAGCGCAACACGGCTATATGAAAGGGCGATCCTGCATCACCACCTTAATGTACGCAAACCACCAGTGGGTACGAGCTCTCAACGAACGGAAGGATGTTGAGGCGGTGTACTTCGACTTAAGCGTTGGACAGAGGGAACCACGAGGTGCTCCTTCTTAAACTGAGGACTTACGGAATCAGTGGCGCGCTACTTCAGTGGTTACATGAGTTTATTGTGGGACGAAAGTTTAGAGTACAGATCAATGACTACCTGACAGACTGGTTTCCATCGACCAGTGGAGTATCTCAAGGAACAATACTTATGCCAGTATCCTTTCTTATTCATATCAGCGATCTCCCGCAGCAGCTCCAGTCACCATGTGCTCAGTTTGCAAATGATTTGAAAATCTGGAGTATCATTGGGAACCAGGACGACCGCGTACGCCTCCAGAATGACTTAGATCGACTGTCAACGTGGTCCACCGAAAGGCAACTCCTCTTAAAGCAAGCAAGTCGGTGTTCATCAGTATCACCAGATGTCCAGTCGCTCGAGTATACACTTTGGACAGCCAATTGCTCCAACCTAACACATCAGTCAGAGACTTAGAAGTGCTCTCGCGACATGATGTGAGATCACTAGAGAATACAGAGAAGCTGTACCGTGCGGGATTTTGAATGCCCTGGGCATTACAACGCAGTTTCTCCACATGGTCCGGAGAAACCGTCCTTCGCATATTCACCTCGCTCATTAGACAAGTCCTTGAATACGGCATCCCAGCGTACCATCCGATAACCCAGTGGGAAACTGAAAAACTGAAGTAAATACAGCATATCGCAACTAGAATGATACCCAGTCTACGAAGGCTACCGTATGAAAAATCTTGTGAAAAGCTAAAACTCTACACACTACCCTACCGCCGGGTAAGAACTGACCTTATTATGACAAATTGAGTGCTACACTTGAATCACTTCCCCATACTGCGGCCAATATTGCACCTGCGAAAACCCTGTAACACCCGAGGATACGTTTACAAACTCAGGGTCCCCTGCATGAACAAGGTATCACATCAGCTTTGTGTAGAACGAAGAGTTGTAAACTTATGGAATATACTATCAGGACTAATAGAGGCCGATTCTGTGAAGTGTTTCGAAACACGTGTCGACGACTATTTCGGAAACCTATGCTTTTGTGAAACGGTGCACATACAATGCAAAGAAATTCATCTTGTACCCGGAAATAATGGTACCAATATGAATTCCTGACCGAACAAGGATGCACAACTAACTGACTATACACAACCGCTGACGATTCGCAAGTAAAAGTTGTTGATTTTTCATAATTAGATAGAGTTGTACAGAAACCTTCCTATTTGCTCTTAAATACAGTCTCAGTCTCACCTTTTCACTGATATCCTTTTGCAGTTATATGGAATTAAACCTAAACTGTCCGATCCTAATCATCCACTGGTTTGTAAATGGATCAGGTGCGTCTAGTTGAACGGGTATTTACTACTGCGTATATGAACTCACAGGTCACGTCTACCACTAGGATTTATTTATGCTCTGCACATACTTTAACACAACAGGATTGCAAGGAAAGCACATTGAAATGATAGAAATTGCTTGAAAGGATCTCGGACGCGGTTGCTTATGGGTTAGAGAGAAACCTTCAGATACAGCTGTAAAATTTCGATTGACAAAGTAACTTGTTAACCATATTTCAATTTCACATAGAATGGAGGTGACAGTGAGTTTGTATAAGCTATCCATACGGCATTCGTCAACACCCAAAGTGTCATCGGCTATGTGTTTACTCAATTTGCCAGGCAACTCATTGCAAGCTGTCGCTTTGCATAAATCACTAGTTTTCGCTTTCCTTAAACTGTGTGAAAGGTATTTGCAAATGAACTGGAAAGGCACTTGTTGCAATGGTTCGGATAGGTGGGACATCAGTCGGAAGGAATCAACACAAAAACATAAGATGCTGGCTCACCTTGCTTCCAGCTGATCTCCACTTGGTTCCGTCCACTTTTTACGGGGATTCTCAAAGGAGTGTGGATCTGCGGGCTGCCGGCGTTGATTGGCTTGCTTTGGGTCTGCTTTGGAATGGTGCGTTACATTGGCTTGCAATTTGTTTGCACTGTCCATCGATGACTTCTTCATTTTCGTCCTTATATCTTCAGCATTTCCACCGTTATTACGTGACGCTTTCAAAGAGGTATGTAGCAGTTTGGGCGGCGCCAGTCGGTTTTCAGCCTCGACTTTCATGTTACGAGAAAGATTACCATCCCTAACAAACTCGCCAACTTTCGAACTGTTGGCACACAATAGTGAGATCAAATCGCGATGAACTTCGCCTGTTTTCTCAAAATTGAGCTGGCCAGTTTTGTGATTGAAGCCCTAAAAGTTCACAATATAATGAGTTTGTATGCAGTCTTGAGCAGTAGGAGAGCTCACAAACACAACTAGATTCCTAGGACAATGCGAGTTCATTCAAGCCAGAGGACATCGGTTTGTCATAATATTCTTCACACGACGTTGCCAATATCCGAATACGCTGGCTTCGGCCCAAGTGACCTCAGAGGTGTTTGCTGAGTTTGTAGCTATAGCAACCAAATCTGTGGGTTGTTTTCTATTAGCCAATCAGTTGGCAATGTATCCACAGACACACTGATAGCGTTTTACTTCGAGATGTAGAACTAAAGTTAAGCGTAACACAAGAGTAAGTACAATACCCATTGAAACTGCTTACAATTTAGATTAGTTGATTTACGCATTGACTGGTCTGTTTTATTCCTTACTTTATTGCATCGGCATTCATAATTGTAAACATGATTATACTCACTTTACTAATTTATACGCATTTATCTCTATATACATATATATGTTGTAGTAGCAGTCTATAATGTAAACAGTGTACCATCAAAAATGATAGATGAAAGTACTTGATAAGCAAAAAAATCGCAAGGAACGACGGGGACAGAAATGAAGTAGCTGTTTTTGTGTTTATCACAAGCCGTTTTGCCTGCTTCTCGTCGGTTTAACTATCGAAGTGTTGGCTACATAAGTCAAAACATGAATCCGGATATATCTTCCATCTAGCTCAACTTTGTGCCAAATCTTCAAGGGTTTCCAGCCGGTGATGTTCATCTTTTTATCCCTAGTAAAGTAAACTAAAGGACCGAACATAGCTAAAATGGAAGTCAGTGTTTTGGCAATTTTGCCACCAAACGGTAGACTTATCACCGCGTACATCCTTCCTTTTCAGTATGATGAGAGCGAATAAAGCGCATCGTGGTGATCTCACTCACAGCTTGCGTAAGATGTGACCAAGTTAGTTACATTGGTGCATCTGTATTAGCCTGTGGAGAGGATGGCCTGTGTTACCTAAGATACGACGTTTAGCATCGTCGATACATACTTAGTGTTTCCACCACAGACGGGAAATCCTCCAAAACACCCGTTCTCGAAGTCCTGAATCTGGCGCACACCATTCAGACGAGTCGGTCAGTACTCACTTCCGTACAACAACGGAAATAGAGTTCCCTCCCTATAGAATCACAGTAGAAACGCAGAGCCCCAGCTAGACAAGCTGTTCACTTGTTCAAGCTTCGTACCTTCCAGAGTGAGCACAGACGGATACCAATCCTGAAGCAGGACTTTGTATTTCGTGAGGGTAAAAGTCACGACCTCCGTGATTGCTTCAAGCACCAAGCAGTTTATCCTATTGTCACCAAATGAAGCAATACAATCGTCATAGTCCACGTCAATCACAGCTTAACTGGAAGGAGCTGTAAGCCAGCAACTTGAGGTGCATCCAGAGTTCTTAATTAGATATGCCCAACCGAAAAATTGAGCAGAAGTGGGGACATGGGACACCCCTATCACACACCATCATTGATAGAAAGTGAAGAGAACTTACTGCAAGCCCTCACTTTGCCGGATAAAGGGCTGTATAACGCTGGAATGCTGGTGAAATACTTTTCAGCTACCCTATTCTTCTGCAGATAATGCCATAGAGTAGACGGATCTGTTGTGCCGAAATTATTCCGGACGCCCAAGGCGACAATGTTAAGGCGGCAGTAATAATAACGCTGCTCGATGAGTTTGCGGTGTGTACACATGCGATCCATGCATTCTCGACCGAGACGCAAACCAGTTTGTTCCTCACGGGAGTGTAGTTCTCGAATAAAAGTTAGTCTCCGGAGCAGCATGGACACCAACAAGTTGGATGTAGCGGACACTAGACCGAGTTCTCTGTGGTTTGGGAATAGTGTGCGGGAGTGCTTTTTGAAGACCGGGACGATACTTGAAGCGCTTTAAAAGGGTTGAAGGTTTTCCTATCACAAAATCTTGGAGAGCAAAGCTGTTGATTAATTGACAAATACTTTGCCATCGTATTTAGATAGTTCCGAGCCAGCAGCCTTGAATCGCTTCAAGTGTCGGAGCCCAGGTAGACCTCCGCTTCAGTAGATGGTTCCACCGAAACTCTCCAATGTGCGCAACTAGGCATACGTGTGAGGCAGGCGGACGGAGTATGCTGATTGATTGGAAAGTGCCGGCCCGCAGCCTTGAAGATCACATGTCTAGCTAGTAATCCAACGGCGCGGGTTCGAGCCTGCGTAAACTACTTGGTGAACCTCGCAGTATCCTTAATCCACGTGCGAGTGATGCTGGCTGCGCAGCGGCGAATCGTCTGTAGTGCAAATCGAAGGACAGCTGCTGCCTTTTTTCGTTGTAGGCCCATCCCAGCAGCCCATGCACCTGCGCAAATTGGTGCACGGTGATCCATCAACTTCGCAACTAGTCTCGCCGACATCGGGTCTTCAGTGGTCAGCGCTCCGATCTGACCTGGAAGAGCCTGCGAAGGCTTCCATAAGGAGCTACCATCTTTAGCTCGGGGACCCGATGAGACAATTAGGCTTCTCCAGCATTACGTACGCTTTGTTTGAGCTGCTGGAGGAGGTTGCAGCATACTTCACCGTTATTCGACTTAAATCGTCGACGGTCAAACAATGCCAGTGAGCGAGCGGAGATACGGTCTCTCAGAGATTGACCAGTGATTCCACAGAGTGATCGGCCGGAGAAGAACAGCAATTTCTGCAACAATCAATGATGAGCGACTTCTGGAAGTGCGGCGCTGTCGCATACATCAGTTAAGGAAGATCGATAGCCAAACTCTATGGAGAAGTTAGCTACTACGTTAGTAGCCAGCATACTGAATTAGTTCCGAGGAACGCCAGCAAGGCATACAGATCTTCGCGCATATCACGTCGGGATCCGAAATGAGGTAGGAGAACCAAACTGGAGGCAGTTGCCATAAAATAACTTGAGTAGTCTATCTTCGTTATCAGCGTGACTCCCCAAAGGGCGTATAGACCACTATGATAATGTTCGCATGGAAGCAAATGCCCACCCCTTGCAGGGAAGTCTCCAATTATAATAAAGATATCTGATTTATCAGCCTTAAGCAATGCACATATGCATTTGGTTCGAGCGCAGACGGAGATCGCAAACAAACTGCGTCCTACTCCACGATGTCTGTTAGTCGTTCCTGGGCCCTGAGGTCCGGTAGTGTTGTCTTGGCTTTACTACTTAAGATCACATCAAGGCCAGCCAAACCTGATTCAGCTGTTTCCGCGTCACATGAAAGAAGCAGGAAATATTTGGTTCCAAAGACAGCCGACTTCAAATTAATCACGGGGAACAAACAAAAAGTCGATAGTGGGGTACTTTTGTTTGCGCGCTAGGCCGGTCGGCTGCTAGATTCGTATGTGGGTTCGTATATTGGAGATGAACAACCGGAATGAAGATCAGGGTCAAAACATGGTCAATGACTGGTTTCTTTAGACAGTGACGAGATTGGCATCCGAAGTAAGTACGTTTGGCCTGCAACAGAGGTGCATCAGCAGTGAAGTACATAGGAGTAGAAAACAATGACGTAGTGGCAGTTTTAGAATCCATGATCCTCTCAGACGACATGATACTACTCAGTTTGTCAAGCCGAAATGGGGTTGGCCCAGGGGACACCACCCTGAGCTTTTGGCCGAATAGCTCTCCCGTAAGGCAGCGGAGCGAAGTAAGGAAATCCCAACTTTGGGAGACGGTGACTAATTGCTCAGTTGCTACGCCTTTCGTTTGGTCGGTTATCAAGCAGGGGCTCCAAGCCTCTCCGGAATTCCTGCATCAGTTTGAAGGATTGTAATGTTTCACCAACATGAAGCAATGACTTTTTTCACTTGCGAGTCATATCCGTCATATCGCAGTGTCATTATACAGATGTGTGCTTTTTCTAGAGATAACCCTTTGCGGACATAAAATTATCACGCATTTGAACATTACCTCCGAACCATTCGCTGGAACGGGATTATCCCGAACCACCCGATTGGTGCCACGAGGAAGCTGTTCGGCAGGTCAGCCACTTCCTAAAATTCAGTGCGCATACAATCGAATTTCTTCAACCCTACGTTGTTTGTAGACTCAAGATGCTAGTGAAGAGTGCGTAAAAGGCTTGCTGTGCAGATGATGCTCAATTAGAAGAAATGTCCTTTTTTCTGTTCTTGAGCAGCCTGCGCAAAGGGTAGACTAATGTGTTTCCACCAGGGCCACCCATGTTAGTTGGTAACAATGGATGTAGGTCACTGAATTAGTGCAAACCCAATGTGTTACGCTGTTCGTTCAAAAGAGGAATTAGCGAGAAATTTTTTTCAAAGAAGCTGTGAATAGACATCGAAGGTTGGTATGTTGCAAGAATTTCGCAAAATAAGTCATAAACTAAGGCAACATTGGTCTAATTTGATAACTCAATGCATGTAGAGAAAATGGATAAAGTACATATGTCAAAACTTTAAGCACAGGTGGGGAGAAATGGGATTATCTACATGTAGATTAAGCAAGCCTGGTAGTCTGTACAAGATGTTTTACAAAGAAACTAAGGAGCGGGAAAATAATCTAATTCCTTCAGTTGTAGTGTGTGGTATACAAGGTCTTTTATTTGCTCTAGTCGCCAGCTAGTAAAAGTGCCACACGTTCGGGGGGCGTAGTTCTTCGTCTGTGAAAACAGATCATTCCCACTATAAGCTAAACGCTGAGGCGAATCGTACGAACCTCACTACTGACGGTAAACAAAATGCGTGCAGTTGCGTGCTACGTCGGATCCGGCATAATGAGATTGATATGCTTACTACTGAAATAGATAAAGTAGATGTAACTCAAAGAAAACCTTTGAGCCTGACAGCTTTCGGGTTAGGAACACAAACTGATAGGCGCGACTAGGGGCCTGCTGCCGACTATCGGAGGTTGACAGACTGATGGTTTGTCACAGAATGTGAACACTTGGGTATACCAAGACTGTCCAATGATGAACTGATGTTCTTAGTTTCCCGCTCGTTCATTTAGACAGTGCGACACAAAACGGTAACGATGCATACCAATGGGATCGTATATATATCAATACGTGCGTATTACTATTCACCGCTGAATCTTCTAAATTGCTCCCACCACCCCACCTCACTTACCAGTCAACAGACTAGCATACTCTCTGCTAATTACTGATGCAATGTTTTATATGGCACGACGGCGACAAGTGGGGAATTAAACGCAAAATAACAGAAGGACAGAGACGTTTTGATAAGTGCAAGTTTCTCACACGAAAGTCAGGGGGTCGAGCACATCACTGTTACTGGAATGTTATGTGACAAACCCATTTGCTAATTTACTGACTCACTTGAATCTGGCCTCATATTTCCCAAGGTCAATCCTCCATCAATCTCCTACTGTTTCTAGCCGCTCCCAACGCATCTTCTTCACTTGTTCCCTTTTTCAGTTGCGGGTTACACACCTATTAGTTTATACGTTTACGGTGACTTAGGCCATGACAAATTGATGCACCAGCATTCGGTGTTTGTATTGTGGTTGATGTGTGGAATCAAAACTCGGTACCTGGTAGATATAGTATCGGGACTACAATCTCCTGGCTGGTGTATGTCAAAAGCACTATCATGTAAAGCATGTGACATAAGATACGATTGTTCTTCTGAAACACAACGGATATAAAATCTTGAACTAACCTTGAAATTGATCGTGAAAACGGAAAGTAAGAAGTTCACGGTTTAACTGCTGGGGTGTTTGTGTTAAAAGGGTGAGAGCTAATGCATTGGTATGTGCATCTCAAAAACTAGTGAACGACACACGTAGCAGACAGAAGAACACTTACCCCATTTATGAACCAGCCGTAGGTAGCTGCTGTAACCGACAACTCGTGGTCTGAACCATGAACTTTCACCAAAAAATAGGCAATATCACCGTACAATTGGCGCCAGGGAGGTGAACGGCACCCATTATCCTGAACCATTTTGAATACTTGGAAAGAAGGGGATCACAGATTGTTTAATACAGGTAAAGACAATTACAAAGGGGTTTTTGAGCACGAATGAGGTACGTCACTGATAGGTAAACATAACGCTGCTAGAGCTGTGGGATCTTTCTCAGAAAGCGAGGCGCATTGATTATATTAGTCCGAGACATAGAATAACATCATAGAGATCCATAGTTGCAATCTGACACCACCAAACGGATAAAAGATCCATCTGTTTGTAATTTTATTGCCAATGTCGATATTCCTGCAGCGAAAGTACTAGTGATTGCATTCAGAACGAAAGCTTCGGTAACCTACCGTGCAGCATCGACTCAGTAGAGTCGGAGTTAAGTCACAGGCTACCAGACCAAATGCATTCAGTCCGGATGACTATGGCAAGTTCTTATCTCCATTCTAGTCACTGCACTGCGTTTATCAGCGGAGGCCGAAGTCGGTGTATTGGTGAATGTCTAAAGCGGTTCCACCGTAAGCGCCTACTGCGTGGGGGACTGAAGCGCAAGCCTCTGTAATTTTCAGCTTTCTGAATGTGTCGCTGTGTTCACACCGGTTCCTTCTTGATACTTTCAATTTACGGAAATTCTACTAATACTAATAATAATGATAGGTGTATTTCGCACCAAGTGGGAAGCTGATTCCGTATTTGACACGGATCATGTATATTGAGGTAATAAATAAAGCTGCAGTACGCCGGTACGCTGTAATGACGCTTCGCTGCCGCACAAACACCACCAGTCGCACGTGGGCTGAGGATACTGCGAGTGTCTCCTGGTCCCCTACGTAGGCTCGAATCCGTGCCCTCGGATTACAAGGTGGGCTTGGGATCCTTAAGGACACCACGCCTTGCATGGGCAATAGGAAGTCGCGCTTTTGTCCTTGTCCTTGTACCTGACAATGTGGATGTCTCACCTGTTTGACATTAAGCTGGATAGCGTCACTGCATTACGAAGATATTGTAAGCACTCAAGGCTGCTTACATTGCGTGAATTTTTCTTAATTCATCCATTAGACGTTATCTGAACCATCAGTAAATAGATCGTCAGGTGATCTAATCCCACGAAAACAGGCTCATCGAACCTCATCCATTTGGTATCTGTTTGGCGGATTTGGAGAAACGAGCGTACTTGAAGATATATTCCTCAACTCAAATATCTATAACATAGAACGTTCTTCCTTCGCAAGTTAGTTTCGCCAGTTAAAAAACGATTGGACTTTCCTCTATCCCATTTGCACTACGTGACAGTCCGTTTTCATCGAAAGCGGAATTAAAAACTGTGTACTCACTAGCCCTCTTCGAGTTTGTCAACTGTGGAACGCTCTTTCGCCTTTTGTCATTTCCGTCCCCACCCTATCCACCTTTAAAAAGCGACTGGAAGATGCTTTACACCGTTGACCATACTTGATGGGATTTCTATTCATTGAGTAATGACAAGACGCAGACAGACATTGTGCTCACCAACCCACGAATGCGGGTAGGCGGATATGTTTGGCGGCATCCGGTTTCGGATTTGCCTGTCACTGTGGCAAGCCACAGGACGCCTGCGCCTACAGAGGGACCATGGATGGCTTGCGCTGCACCACCCACAGCTCCAACCACATAACCCATATCCAGTGTAAACCCGAAGGAATAAGACCGGGAGGCATGCGGATGGGAACCACGTTTCATCAACGGAGCCGGCCCACACTCCTTCACAGGCAAACACAAGCACGCTGTATTTGGGGAATCAAGCGCACACAAGGCGGTGGCTGGACCGTAGTCCGCTCCACACTGAGTGCATGGAACCACTCTTCGAGCCTAGCACGGCCACAAGAACCGTGCACCCCGTCCCCTCCAGCAACGACCAACTGTCTCCTGAGCCAGTATGAACAAGGTAGTGGGTAATAGACAGGTAGGCACCTTGTCAACATGCACATCAAGCGCAGCCACACCGGGGATATCAAGCAACAGCCATTCACTTTAAACGACAAGCTGAAATAAAATAAATCCAATAATGCATACAGATACAGTGGCATAACTCTTCGCTAAATTACCATATGAAGTACTTTGGTTAGCAACAAATCCGTGATAAGTAAGAAACGTCTACAAATTACTTAAAATGCTACAAACGCAACAAAATTACCGAAGATAAGCGCAATTTGTGTAAGCAACGTGGCCAGTTAATAGAACATTATTCAGGAAGGCAGAACAAACCAAATAAAGCGAAATGAAATTTATCCAGCTTAAAAAGACCTAGTTTAAGTGTAAGTTGATTTAGCCCAACTGCGGTGAAGAAGCATCAAGAATGCAACATCAGCCTCAGCATGGGGCACGTAGGCGGATATACCTATGAGTTAACATGGATAATATGGTGAGTCTACAGATGCGTTTTTTTCACTTTTGTGCAAGTTCTTAGAACTAACGTTATTCGCACAAATCACCCCACGGGACGTGTCAAGTCTTGACTTTTTTATCCGTATTATACCATTGTTCCACTGTTACGTAACATTAAGCAGACCAGCATGTGAGTAACTTCATGAGTCGTATTAAACCTAATCTTTTTTTCTTTTTTCTGTGACTTTAAACCACAATTTTATTACTTTCACTCCGGTCATCCTACGAGAGTTGTCAAGCAATTGCTTTTTTGCCCGTTATAAATTAATGTTCACTGTTCAACATTTGACCAATCATGGGGTGATAGGTAGTGTACCACAAAAGTATTTACGGAGTGACAGATATGAAGTAAGCCGTACAAGTAGCAAACAACCTCTGCGTTAGCATCGCATTTGTGCAAAATCGGTTCAACTGAGCAGATAGTTGTAAAGTAGTCAGTTCCGTTCAGTTCAGTCAATCGACTGGAAGCAGTTAATCACAGTGTGGTGTATGTACACAAACTTCTGAACATAGTCAACTCCATGGCATGTTTGTTACCTCTATCTGTTCGAGTGGGCACAGCTGAGTTCGGACTGTGGATAAATGGCTTGTAATTTGTGAGCTATTAGGGTAACAAAAAATTCATTAGCTGCTTATCACACAGTGTAATCTACGTAGTTTCGGTTCGGTGGATCCGCATTGTCCAACCACCGGCCGTCAATCATGATATTTCAACACTTGGCCTGGTTTTAGAAGCCTATAGTCCATGACATCGTTTGCAGCTGCGCGACACCAATCATTGCCTGTTGCATAAAGGGCTGCGTTACGAGTTTCCCCCCAAGTTCGGACGTGCAACATCCAATCTCCATCCGCTTCACTCTAAGTTGTTCACGCAGAGTCTCCAAACTGAGTACGGTGTTCCGAACCAGGGCTAACTAGAACAATATTCTGGAATTCCGATAGAGCCAAGGTGAGTAGCCAAGGAATAGCAGATTAGTACCGGAATCTGGCCTACAGAATCATATGGAATGGTGTATGTATTTGATAGATGAATGATAGATAGATGGTCCTTAAACATGATAAACATATGAGAACACTTTTCGTTTGTTATTGCATGTGGCGGAGGTTCTCTGGTCAGTTTCGCTAATGTGTGGCCAACTTATTCAGTCGTCCAATGGAATTTAGCCGGAGATTAACGCTTAGGAGTTAGTGACTAATACACAGTCTTGCCCATAATCGCTGGCAATTCCATCAAATATTGTTGTTCGATAGCTGGACCACAGGTGACTACCAACGCAGTTTGGTAGTAGGAATACATGCTTACTAAATGCGGGTAATTAACATGCTAAAATGAGTTCACCATAGATCTCGTCGATACAAATACTCCGACATAATTCCACGTGAAATGTGGCCTTCGGCAAGTTGTGAATATTCTAGTACGCAGTTAAGCAAGATGATAAAGACCAACCGGCCGGCAACATAAGTGGACAATTTTTGTATTAGACATATGATTTAAGTGAATCTGATTAGTAACCATTTCTGTAGCTAAACCATTGACAAAATTGTAGGGGCACAACTAAGTGCTCAACAATGTTCCAACAACAGTACTTCATATTATCTCGTCAGTACTAATACAATAACAGGGAAATACTTTTATATGTCTTACAGGGCACAGTCAAACCAATCAAATTTATTGTTGTGGTCGTTGTTATCCGAAAGTTGCCGTTACCTTCAGTAAAGGAAGATGAACCCGTCGGCGCCAAATCCCATTGTGTCTACCAATTCGTGTGTGACTGCGGTATCAGTTACATCGGCAGGACCGAACGGGCTTTAGATTCCCGAGTGAAGGAACACCTACCAAACTGGGTTCAGCGTGAAGTTACCAAATCCACCTCCGATGATACGTGTTCGCGTAAGCTACCAGCGTCCTCCATAGGCAGGCACATCTTGGCGACTCGTCACCAGGTCAATCCCTTATCAGCTTTCCGGATCTTGTTACGTCATTCTAATGCACGCCTTTTACGATTTGCCGAGGCCGTCGCGATAAGCCGAATTAGACCAGCTTTGTGTGTCCAGAAGCAATTAGTTGTCAACCTGCGGTTGCCGTGGACCTAATCTGATAACAACGGCCACAACAATAAATTTGATTGGTTTGACTGTGCCCTGTAAGACATATAAAAGTATTTCCCTGTTACTGTATTGGTACTGACGAGATAATACGAAATGCTAGCATCTACCAATATTCGTCTTCTCATTTCGTTGTTCAAACTACTGAAGGGGACTAACTGTTTTAACAGTACTTCAGCCATTTGTACTGAACATTCGCTACCGTACAATCACAGTGACCTAAGGAACGAAGAACTATGAGAGAGAACGAGGTCTTACCTGAAAACCTTTATGCCCTAAGCAAATATTTAGGGTCAAGGCGCATACACAACATACCGTGGCAAACAGCTTGCTATCCTGCACAGATAAGGCGGTATCGGCAAGACAGCTTCCTTGCGGCTTTCACTGCCACACGTCATAATCAGCCATTATCCCGCAGATGACTCAGAAGCAAACAAACAGCAATCCGATTAGGAGAACGCAGCAGACGCGCCACTGTTGTCGGTTGCCAGCCATGTCCCGTAAACTCTC